CCGCCCCGGGCTCCGCCCTGGATCGGCAGGCGCAGAAGAGAAAACTGGCTCCCCGCGAGCGAAGGCCCGTTGCCTGCTGCGGTCGCCGTCAAGTGCGGGCTTTGGCCGAGCGGTGGCGGGTAGGGTGCGAGGGCAGTGGGGTCCCCGAGGGACAGCAGCTGGGTCCGGGTCCGGAATCGGGGTCTGTTCCCCCGCTGCCTCGCACGCGTCCCGCAGGGGGCGGGCCAGGGAAGCCAGCTGCCCTCGGGGGCCCCCTCTGCCCGGCCGCCAGTCCTGGGATGGGGGTGACCCCTAGGACTTGCAGGTGGGAGCCCGCAAGGGCAGGCTGGGGGGAGTCCCTGTTGCGCGGGCAGGACGCAGCGTCCGTCCATGTCCCCGCCGCCCTTGGTCTGAGCTAAGCGGGCTTCACTAGGGTGGCTGGAGAAAGGGCCTGAGGGACTTCTGCAGAATAGCTCGTTCACCCGATTCAGGCTTTCTCACAGCGCTGTAGAGCACAGGGAAATACACACAAGATCTTACGGTGGCTCACAGAGAAAAAATGTGACAATGAATATATACTGTTCACGCATAACTGAAAAGTTGTGCTCTACCCTGGAACTTGACACAACATTGTAAAATGATTATAAATCAATAAAAAACGTTTAAAAAAGAAGACTTTGTCACAGTGGAGAATTTTGATGAGGTTTCACGTGGGACATGAATTTTCTCAAATTCTGGGCCCATTCCTAGAAGTCCATCCCCACCCCCCAGCCTGGTTTTACCCAGTCGCTGCCTGGGGCATTGATCAGAGGGGTTCCCCTCTTCCCCCAGCCACCACCTTGCTGCCTCACTGTGCACCTGTGTGCCTGGACTTCTCAGGCTCCCACAACGCCCTAGACCTGGGGGCGGACATTCAGGCTTCCGGGGAGCCCCGGGTGCGGTTCAGGGAGCCGCACGCCCCAAGGCAACTGCTGGTCTGTCAGGATGCTCTAAGCCAGGGCCTGCCCCTCTGGCCCCTTGTGCTGGGTGTGTCACCAAAGCAGCAGGAGTCCCTGCCCCTTGGCTTGGCCTTTGCTGACGGTCCTCCCTCATCCTCCCCCTCCCCCCAGCACTCTGGCCGTGGGTGAACCTCTGGGCTTCGCGCTGTCTCCTGTCACTCCAGGCGTCTTCAGTTTGCTCTCTAGATCCACCTCTACCTTCCTCTTCCCCAAGACCAGTGGGAGCTGGAAGGCAAGAGAGCCGAGTGGCTGCAGCCCGTGGGAGGTGCTGGCAAGGAGCTCAGAGCGGTGGGAGAAGGCCTGGCTGAGGGTCAACAACCTGCTAGGGGAGGCCGCAGCTCCGGTTCTGTGTCCAGGCCTTGGGACTCTCCCTGCTCAGGGACTGCCTGCCCTGCCTGTTGGCTTCCTTTAAGCCTGCTCGCAGGAATGGTCCGCTAACTCCGCCGTGTCCTGAGTATCCTGATTGTCGTGGTTTGGCCACAGAACTCCCAGCAGTTCCAGTCTCTGTTTCTTCTTCCCGATCACTGCTGGCTTTAGAGAGGAGACACCCTGCTATCTGCAGCAGCAAACTCTAGGGACACTTGTTCCACGAAAAGTTTCAACACCAAGATTTTTCCCCCGGAAGGATTAATATCCAGAATGTTCTTGGGGGAACAGTTTCTACCTCTTTGAAAGTACCAACTTAAAACAATGTTTTTTTTCAAGTTATAAAGCTGAACAGCAAGTTTTCTTAACACTTTAATTTTAAGCAGTTTTGTAGGGAGGAAGTGGCTTCCTTGGCTGTGGGAAGCAGGTCAAGAGAAGAAGCCAAACTAAAAGGATAGTTCACCGATAATTGGACAAATCAGGAGTCATAGTCAGATAATGGGGAGAAACATTGTTTCTGTTCTTTTCTGAAATCCAACCAGCACCGCTGCAGCCCAGCACCTGCCACCACTGTCCAAGGGCACTGTGGGCCCAAGGTTGTTTCTGGGCTTTTTTAACAGCAGAAAAGGGCATGAATTCAGAGATTTCTCCGGGTAAGAAGTCGAGGGAGGGAAACAGGCACTTGCAGGAGCCACCCCCGTGGTCCCTCTCTCCCCTGTGCCCCAGGGAGGCTCTGGGGCCTGTCACAGGCAGGGAGCACCCGGGGCAGCAGAGTGGCGCAGCGGGAGCGTGCTGGGCCCATAACCCAGAGGTCGATGGATCGAAACCATCCTCTGCTATGAGCTTGTTTTTCCCTGGACTGTGAATCCAGTGATCCAGGTTCAGATCTCTGTGGGGCCTGGGCGCCTATTTTGTCCCCTCCACAGGGGTGCTTAAGGCTAAGGGGTTCAGAGAGGGAAGCTGGGAGTGTGTGTCTCTTTGGTGACAGTTAGGGCTCTGGATTCTGAATCCACTGATCTGAGTTCAAGCCCCAGTAGCACCTGCTCTGCCAGTGGCTGTCCTGCCATCCTGTGTGTCCTTCTTAGTAGACACAGGACATAGCCTGGCACAGGGCTGCAGGAGACTGAGACCCCAGTCCCTGGGGCCTGGTCACCACTGCCTCCCGTCCCTCCAGAGGAAGCCACCTTAGGAATTTCCTGATCTTTTTTTTTCCTCTCTTGCCAAATGCAAGGGAAACTTAAAAGCCTACTTTATTTTATAAAGCAATTTTTTAAACTAGTTAAAAAAATTTTGAGAGGTACTGGGGATTGAATCCAGGATCTTGTGCCACGGAGCTGTACCCTCCCCCTTCTTTGTTCTTTCTAATGTTCCTTTTTCCCCTCTCTAGCTTACCTTTTAAAAAAGGGATCCAAGGGGCTCACGCTGTTTTGTTCTGAGCTTTCCCATGATGCACCTTGTAACCTCTGGAATCCCAGGTCAGGACAATGACTTAGCTTCTCCACTGGTGAGTTTCGGTGCAGACTGTTCACTCTTCATGGAAATGCAGGAAAGAGTGCCTTTCACGTACGGCCCACTGGGCACCAGTGTGGCCACTGTCGTAGGAAAGGCTCTTGAGAAGAGACACTGCCCTCAGGTGCACCTGCTGTCACTGACACCAGTTCCTCCTAAGCCATCTGCCCACCCACGCGGTCACGAGGATGTGCTTACGTGTGCGCACGTGTACGTATACAGTTGTCTGTATATGCTTGCACCGTGTGTGTGTGTATGCGTGTGCCTGTGCATACAAGTCTGTACATGGTCTGTACGAACGTGTACGTGTACATACACACAGCACAGCTACACTTCTGCATGTGTGTACACATGTGTATGCACGTGTGCATGTGTGACTTGATTTCCATGTAAAAGTCAGACTTCTGTCTGGCGCCGGCTTTCCGGTCTCCGAACATAGGGCGTCGCCTTACTCAGGAAGCACAGGGGCCAGTCTCTGTCCAGAAATGACACCGGCCCGTCTCCCTGAACATCAGAGCCGAGGGGCATTTGCTTCAGACAAGTGCTGTGCTTCCTGGTCCGAGCGGGACAAAGCCTGTGTGGAGGGGGGTGGCGTGTCAGCACTGGTGCTGGGCCCCCGCGCTGAGGAAGCCCAGGTCTGGTGGTCGCCTAATGCATCTGACCCTGACTGTGTCTCCTCACTGCAGGGGCGTGTCCAGAAGCTCCTGCGCTCAGCGCTGAGGCCACACGACACTTTATGTCAGTCGTGTAACAGCCTACAGCAGGTACTGCCCTGGCTCCACACTCGAGGTCAGCGTCAGTCCGACAGTGGGGGCAGTGGCTGGACTCCAGTCCTGGTTCCAGCAAAGCTGAGGAGGAAGGACCAACGTCTTACACTCGCTGGAACTGGCCCAAGCTCACAGGCCCGGTGGAAACGGAATTGGGAAATCTGGGCCGATGTGGTCCAGAGCACGGGCACTGGAGAACGCTCACCAAGATGACCAGAACACGCACACACCTCTGGTCCCTGTTCACGGTCCACAGGAGGTGTCAGGAGCACCAGAACTCAGACAACAGCGTCCCTGCAGAGCGGCTGCCGCATGTGACATGAACCTGGATCTATCCTGTCCCCTCCTCACGCTGGGATGGCGCCTTCACTGGCAGACACTCCCCAGGGCGCACCACCCCCAGACCATGGGGCCGTCCGTCACTCTGCCCGACTCAGGTGACGAGGGAAACAAATTCTCCTTCCACTTTCCTCTCACGTAGCCGCAACCCAAGGTGAGCTGGGCCACGGATCAGACACCGCACGTGACCACACCCAGCCCCTCAGCCTGGGCCCTGGCCTCTGGATGCTGCAAGAGGCGGCTTTTCAAGCAAGAGCCGCCCTCCCCAACTCCTGGCACCGGGGCCCGAGGAAGGGCTCGGGAAGGACGCTTTCCTGCTCTGAGATCAGGGCGGGGGAGCCCGGCTGGGAACACACTCTCCACCCCAGGCACCCTTCAACTGTTTATTCCACAGTCAGTTGCTGTAGAGACAGCAACCAACTGTATATAGGTTGAAAGCAAAAAATATACAACTTCACACAACATATCCAGCTGTCAACACAGAGCCACACAGGCATGACGCAGCAGAGTAAGACGAAGGGGTCTGACACGTGGGGGCCTTACAGCACTCAGGGACCCGAGGACGCCAGCACTCGTGTCAACAGAACCCAGGTGCTTTGAAAAACCAACTCTAGGCCTATTCACAGACGTCCTTCCTTTCACGGGATGAGCCCTGACATGGAGTTTCACGATTCTGTCGTTTTCGGCTGTTTGCTAGCCCGTTCTGTCTGGCTGTGGGTCAGCGGCTTTCTCTCTTCCATCTTTTAAGGCGAGCTCCCTTGAGCAGCATGAGCCGGGGGAGAGTCTTGTCAGGAGCACACGGAGAGCGTCCCTGAGCCCAGCAGACATGCCAGGCCCGGGTGGGAGGGAAGATGTCGGGGAGGAGCTGGAAGGGAGGCCGGACCATTGGGCAGCTGCCTCTCCCACATTCAGGGTCAAAGGGCTATCACCTGCTTGACCCACCCCTGGGAGGGACCCAGGAGGCCGACCGCACAGCCTGGCCCAAGCAGGAAGATCCATCTCTGTCTGTCCGTAACACTCGTCGCCTTGCCCAGGCCTCCCCTGCCAAGGTGAGTTCACTGAAAGACTAAACGTGAAAGTTGGGGCATAAGTTGCCAGAGCACACAGGGCCCCTCAGCCGGTCTGGCTACTGGAGCAGGAGGGACGCGGCCCCCTGCAGCTGGTACTTCTCAAGAAAAGCTGGAAATCCCAATTTGTATATGGGCCCTGATTCCAAAACGATGCGATTTATTCGCATTCTGGCAAAAACAGTCAGGAGTAACAGAAGGTCAAAGCGTGAGCCCACTGGCCGACCACGACCCGTGGCCCCTGCCGCCCGCCCCTTCCACGCCAGACCGCAGGGCCTGTGACTCAGAACTGCTGGGGTCTCAGCTCTTCACGGGACACTTTTTGGATTTTATTAAGCCTAAAAACAGGCGTCTGTCTCCATTTTTGCTCTTTGGGATTTTCTCAGTCTAACAATAAAAGAATACTCAAACTGGAGCAACCCTCCTCTCAGGGTAAGACACCCTGATCTCACACACGTGACGAGGCCAGCACCACGTGGAGCCGAGGGAAGGGCGGCGACAGGTGGGGACAGAGGAGTCGGAAGAACCAAAGTCGTGAGAGAAGAGCTGAGCTGTTCCTTTTTTGAGTGTCTCTGACACCCACACCGGCGACCCCTGTCCTCCAGCAGCGGACAGGCCACCTCCCGCCTCCCCCATCTTCACCACTTGATGTCTCGGCTGTTAGTAGGGTGGCCCGGGCCTGGGTGTGCGGTGTGCAGGGCTTCCTGGACGCGGGGGGAGTCGGCGCCGTCCAGCCATTCCTGGTACAGCTCCTGCACATGGGCGCTCGTCTCAGGGGGCCGCACGGGGACGTCCGCGTAGATGCCCTTCATCCTCTGCAGCAGGGCCTTGTCCGCGCGCCCCTCCTCCGTCTGCGCCTGGCCTCTGCCACTGAGGCACCCTGAAACACACGGGAGCTTGCTCATTTCCCCGCTTCCATCTCAAAGGGAAGACGACTCTGGACCGAGGAAGGGCGTCGGCGTACACCTCATGGCTGGAGGCCCAACCCAGGCCCCTGCCCACTCCCGTGGAACTCCTCACAGACGCTCTCACCACACACTAAAATAACACGCCGGCCTCTGAGAGCTGGCTGGCTATGTATGCAAATCTGGATTTGCAGTTTCTCTTAAAATGTATCAAAACCAGAAGAGCACAGAAATTATTAACGAACAGCTAAATCACTGGGGTCAGCCTAATGCCTGAGTGTGCAGGTTTGCATCTGGGCTGCGCCGGGGAGGGGAGGGGATGGGACGGGTCCCCGGCCCAGACACCCAGACACTGCGGCCTGAACAAGGAACACGCCTCCTACACCCTGCTGCCACTTTTCTCCAACGCCCTAGATGACTGTCACGATTTACAGGACAGAAGCTCATTTAAAACAACCTGCAGCGAATTTCCACCCGGGCCAGGCCTCCCTCCACTTACCCGTTGGCAGCACCTAACAGCTGCCCTGTGGGTCTCACGTCTCTGCTCCCCAGGCCCTGCTCCCCGGCCACTGCTCTAGCTCAGGGCATAGGTGAGCACACCCAGCCTCCACCCTGACTGGCACGCAGGTGTGGGAGGCCCCGTCTGGACCCCAAAGCTCATAGCTCACCTGCTACCCCCTCGTCCACACCTCCTGTCCAGTCCTTGTGTGGGCCACAGGACCTGCCCTCCACGCCTTGGCCCCTGGACAAGGTCTCCGAGGATGCCCGTGCCCCCAGCCAGTGCCCCAGTCTCTGCCTGCCCTCAGTCACCCCCCGCCGGGGGCCGCCTTTCCTCAAACTCATCTTGCGCCTGGATCCTCCCTTTACTCCCCAAATTCCACCTGGTACCTCGTGGGCTGCCCACCCAGGATGGCCCGGATGCCCTGGCTCCCCTCTCCGAGTCAGATGGGCCACAGGGTCAAGTCCTCCCAGGGGCCCCTGCCCCTCCTGGTCCTCCATCACTCGGGGACAGAACCAGGCTGGAAGCGTGGGGCCACTCAAGCTGCTGGGGAGCCTCGGCTCCCACGGGCCGCAACGCCACCGGTCAGGGGCCCTCCATACAAGCTGCCACACCAGCCGGCTCTCATCTGGTGCCACCTAGACAGCGACTCTTCCCTGGGACCATGTCCCCAAGAGGGTTTGCAAGGCAACACCTGCCTGCCTGCTCCCTCCTCCGTGTGGGTGTTAGGGGAGGAGACAGGCCACAACCACCAGGGAAGCGTCCAGGCTCCTGCAAGGCCGGCGGGCTGAGTGACGTGGCGGGTGGTGGCGGGGCCGGCCCCCAAAGTCTTACCCCCGGCACAGGCGAGGACCTCCACACAGTGATACGGGAATTTGCCCTTCTTCAGCTTCAAGACCACATTCTGGATGTTCCGAAAGCCGTACGCAGCAGCAAAACGCAGCAGAACCTCCCCGCTCTTCTCGAGGGTGACCTCCTGGAAGTCTCTGTTCCTAAGAAGGCGACAAGGCGGACTGTGATCTGGACCCCCTGTGTCTGTGGCTTGAGGATGTTTTGCAGTCCATGTCCGGCCTATCAGCAAACTTTAAGTCTGTGAATGATGTGAGAAAGGCCTCTCTACCTCTACTGCTGTAAACCCCACAGACGGCGTCCCCCAGCCCGAGGGCACGTGCAGCTGGCTTTGGCCAGTCTATCCCGGTGGGCAGCGCCAACCACACAGGCAGGCGGGGCACCCCAGCCCTACGCACCTCAAGGAGCGGTAGGTAAGCTCCCCCACGTCCTCGTTGAACAGCTCCTTGGCCGCGTGTCTGAAGATGTGCCCCAGGTGCGCGTCAGGGCTGGCTCCGTCGTGGCGCCTCACCTGCCCCTCCACGTCTCCAAACCTCACCAGGAGGGCAGCAAGAGTTAAATCAGACCCCCTGGCTTACCATCCAAGGCCATGAAACCCTTTACAGATATTTATACTTTGGGCAAGAACCTCCTATGTACTGAGTTTCACTGGCCAACACAGTGCCGCCCGCAGCCTGGTCCGAGCCTGCAGGCAGCACACCCAGTGCTGCCCACCTGGCTCCGCGCCTTCGGCTGTGCGTGCTTCACAACACTTGAAAGGGCCCGCCACCTGCGTCCGGCCAGACGAGGCCTCTGGGTCATCCTGGGCCCGGCTCTGGGCACAGGCACCCCAGCTGCTTGCAGCCTGCGGACCTCAGATGCCTTCCACACAAGGGCCACACGTGGTCCTGATGTCACCACGGGGGGGGACCTGCCGTGCAGCCCATGTGCTCTGAGCCCTGGGACACAAGGTGCTGCAGGGACGCTGTCAAGGCAGAAACCCAGCCTGCTGCTCTCAGTGCACAGGGACCTGAAGGAGTCACTCTGTGTCCAGAAGGCCCTTCATCCCCCACAGGTCCTGATACGACGCCAGGAACACGTGAAGTTCAGAAAAGAGGGTGCTGGTGTGCAAACGTGTGGCCCCTATGTCAGACCACGGGAGCCACGGGGCCCCCGACACCCAGTGAATGGTGTCCACGCCAGGGCGCTGCCCACGCTCAGTTCAGAGCTGAGGGTCATGGGGGAGCAACGGAGGAAGGGGGGCCCTCAGGGGCTGCCCCACACCCAGGCCTCAGTGCTGCATGTGGCCTCATCGTAAAGTGGGGAGGCCCTGGCAGAGGTCACAAGGTCACACAGGAGGAACCCCCCAAGGTGCCCCTCCCCGCAAAGCCACTTACAGAGTGTCCAGGGCAGCGTCTCTCACAGAGAGGCCATTTTGCTCCATCATCTGAGCGACTTCACCTACAAAGAAGAGGACACGGCCCGCACCGCTCAGGAGCCTTTTCCCTGAGGGGACTGTTGGTTAAGGCGACTCTGGATACTGTCCTGTCACAGGCAGCAGGTGCAAAGTAGCACCAGTGAAATGTCAGGAAAGAGACTGATTTCTCTTTGCGCCCCTGCAACGGGGGCTTCTGCAAACAATCTCCCCGTGGCTTTGTTTCCTGAGCTAAAAGCTTTTGTGTGTGACCCCTCGTGTGGACAGGACGATAGCTGCCTGCCGTGAGACCAGTGGTGACTCAGGACCACTTTCAGGCCTCTCTTTGCATTGAGGGCTCCTGAGAAAACAAAACCCTGAGAGAAAGAGTGAATCCTGAATCGACTGCTGTGACATCAGGTGTGAGAAGACTGAAGGTCACGAGCAGAGCCCAGTGCGTGCAGAGAAAGGACACCTGTGTTTCCCGAGACAACCCATCACAGCTGAGGCGAGATGGGCCGAGGCGGCGGCCCTCCCACCCGCTCACCCGTCGCTGTCCACAGGAACCTGTGCAGTGGAGACCCTTCCACAGCCAGGGGACTTGCAGAGGGTCACTGCCCTCAAAGTGGCCCGAGAGCCAGCCCTCCGCCTCCACACCATGGGGGCTTGTTTTCAAGCTGTTCAAAGTACCCCCACCCAGGCCAGCAAAGTCTTAAGTTACCCCCTCTCGACTGACTGGCTCTGGAGGATTCTGGGGAATCACTCCTGCCCAACGCCGAGAGGTGCGCGGGTTCTCTGGGCAAGTCCAAGAGCAAGGCCCCTGCGGGGAAGCCACGAACAATGTCCCTGGGGCACTCTGTGTGCTCCTATCTGGGCGGCCCTGCCCTCACCTGAGGTCAGCACGCAGTCAGCACCCCGAGACCCACGTGAGGCTGTGAGCACATCTTCCTGCAGGGCCTCCAGCTTCCTGTCGTAGCACGGAGCCACGATGACGTGGAAGATCTTGTCTGGGGACAGGTTCTGCGGAGAGAGCCGGGGAGCGGCGGCGAGGCAGCTGAATGCACTGGGTTAGCAGACAGCCCTGGCAGCCTGAGGACTCAGGAAGGAGCCAGGAGCTGGCCCGCTTCCCCTGAACCTACACGTGGGGACCAAACACGGTAATGAGAAGCCACTGCTGGACTCAATGTGAACGCTCGGCCACAGATCTTCCTTCTTTCCAGACACTTCCCAGGCGACTGGGCCGCCCCCTGCATGCTCGTGGCTGAACTGGAATCGGTGGCAAGGCCATGGTGCCACGTGCCCTTCTGGGGAAGCCCAAGTGGAAAGGCCTCACTCCTGGCAGAGCCTGAGCAGGAAACTGGCCCTTGTCACAGCTCTGGGGAAGCACGTTCCCCCAGCAGGCCCGGCAGCACTGAGGGCCGAGAAACACCTGGTTCCCCCAGACGTCAGGGGCACGCAAGCACAGGCAGAACGTCCCATGGGTCACTTTCCTGTCCCCAGTGGAACACATGCCGACATCATGTTTGTAATTTCTGACTGTGTTGACTTTACGAACAAACTGGTGAGAAAGAAAAGCCCCCACGGCTAAGCTAATAGTCCGCCCGAAGTGTGTGTAGCTGTTTAAGCCGGTTTCAGGCGTTTGAATGACCTGGACCTTTGCTGTCTTCCCTGGTCCCCCAGCGCCTGACCACCTGACAGAGGACAACGTGGGCACCCCAGCAGCTGGGAAGCAGGTCACGGGGCGGGGGCCACGTTGTGGGTGGCACTGGCGGCAGGGGCTCCAGCAGGACCCAGGCCTGGATACTGCCTGAGTCCTGGAGGCAGACCCGGATCACATGCTGGGGGCCAGAGTCAGACCACAGAGGGCAAGGGACCGCTGAAGAGGGGGTGCCACACCCAGGGTGTTGAGGGCCCTGGAACGGAGAATGGCAGGGCCAGGCGGGCCGGGACCCCTTCCTGCATGAGGACAGAGAGGCTCACGAGGAGGCCGCCCACGTGCCGAGGCTCCCGAGGTCTGCGGGAAAGGCCAGGCTTCCATCAGGGTGAGCTCAGGGCCTGTCCCCACACTCGGGGCACCTCCCCCAGCCCCGCGGCTCGTGCACCTGCTCATGGGGGCCCTCTGGGAAGGGGCTGGCTTACCTGCCTCCTGGCAAAGTAGTCCTTCACCAGAGACCCCATGATCTGCTGGGGAGACTTGGCAGTGCAGAGGTGAGGGGTGACGGGGTGGCCCAGCACCCGCTCAGCGTATCGGACCCAGCCTGGGGAGGGAAGGGCCCGTCAGCTCCTCACGACTGCTCCACTCAGGGTGAAGCCAGGATACCCTTTCCCTCGGCCTCCTCTGGGGTGCGTCACAGACTCCCCACCGAGCCACCTCTCCTCACGGCTCAGCCACGGGAACCCCCGGAGCCTTTGCTGCTTGACTGGAAGGTGCCCCAGCCCAGAGAGGACAGTGCAGCAGGATGGAAGGAGCTGGGGCAGCAGGTCCTCCAAAGGGAGGGGAGCAAGCCTGGAGGAGCAGCTGCGAGGCAGCTCCTGGGCCGCATGGCCCCAGCTGCACCGCACTGGCTGCAAAGCTCTCACAGCCGGGACGGCTGGCCGCGGGGCAGCTTCACTCTCCTGCTGGAGGCGAGCAGCCCGACAACTGCCCCCTTTCAGGACAACGAGCTACAAGAAGTCCACACCCCAGAGAGACACTCCGTGAACAGCACCATCCACGATGCACCCGTGACAGGCCCAAGATGTGTTCTAAGCGCTTCCCCAAGTCGCTGACTGGGGGCACCGCTGCTGGCCTAGTTTCCAGGTCTGGACACAGGTCAGAGGGGTCAGCGGACCACATGGCCAGCAGCTCATCGTGCAGGAGCTGGGCTGGTCTTGCTCCTCCCACTGGGCACGGCCAGGCGAGGAGGGTGTCTGGTGACACTACTGGCCCCACGGACAGGCGAGTACACTGCAGCATCAGGAGGGTGAGTGGGCGACGGAAGCCTGGTGATGAGCTGCCCACCAGACCCCCGGGCAGCCAACTCCCCAGGCCCGCACTGCGGGGAGGGGCAGCAGGCAGCAGCCTGAAGATCCCATCTGAGCAAACGGACACCATGGCCGTCATCTGCTTGCAGGCCCAGCACCCTCAGGAAATGCCCATGGTGACCTGCCAAAGCCCGAGGAGAGCCGCTGCTGGAGTGTTCGGGCCCAAAGCTGCTCCTACCGCGGGTGTGGCTGTGTAAGGCCCCCGCCCACCCTCGGCTCAGCTCCAGAGCCATTGGCAGACTCGCCCTCAGGCCCACCCAGCTCTGTGCTGTGACGGTCCTCCAGGCGGCTGGGGTGGAAGAGGCCCAGCAGGGACATGGGGGGACAGGGTCACAGGTCCACAGCACTGGGCACCCGAGGCTAGACAGGCCAGCACTCTCCCCAGGACACCTGCTCAGAATCTGCTACAGGCGCTAACCTGGGGCCTTAGCTTCGGGGGAGTGCATCCTACCCTCAGACCACCCGCCCTTCTCAGGGGCCTCTCTGAAGACACAGAGGGTGGCGCACTCAGAGACGCTCTGCCGGGCTGAAGACATGACTCCTGCACCTCAGCTCGACGAGCACGCCGTGGGTCCCACACAGTCCAAGGCCCAAGGGTGCCTCTGGGGCCGAGTGTTCAAGCCCTCAGCCCTTTAGGTAGAGGTGCAAAGGTGGGTACTGGGGGGCAGGGCCCAGGCGGTCTGTGGGCAGTGAGGGCCACCCAGACGCCCCCGCCCTGGCCTGGACGCACCGCCCTCCAATCAGTCCGAGGAAGCAGCACTGGATGGAGGGGCCCTGCGAGGGGACACCACGCCACCCAAAGCCGGATTCTGTATGCCAGGTTGAACCATCGATCTTGGTGTTGCTTCTGCTCCCCCAGGTTGTCATAGGGAAGCAAAGTGCTGACGCCAAATTGTAGAAGAGGTTAGTGTTGAACCAGATCTCACCTCATCTCCCTGAATGTGAAACGCAGAGCGAACTGAACAAGTTATAGTTTCCACCGACTTAGGTATAAAGAGCCTCAGGAGGAAAATGCATCATTATCTTGGAAGGACACTCCAGAAGCTCCAAACCCACAAGGAAACAGCCCTGAACAGCTTGAAGGGACCACGGATGCAGCAATGCCAGGCCGGGGGAGGGGAGCGCCGGGCTGCGGCCCAGGACGACTGCGTGAGGAGGCGGGCCCTGTACGGACTGCGCTGCATTTGCTCCGGGCACAGGGCTCATGGGTCCCCGCAAGCATCAACCACTGCTTGTCGCCCACCCCAAGCAGCGTCAGCTCCGGCCGGCAGTGGAGGCTTCCGTCCTGCGCCCCACCCGAGAAATCCGGCGCCAGCTGCTGTCTGGTGTCAGGAGAGCACAGGCATACTCCTGTGATGGGAATGCGGGCAGGAAGTCTGGACACGACATCCCAGGGCCGACCCTCACTGGGAGCGTCCATCTGGGAGTCACCTTTCCAGGAGGACAAGCCACACACCGGAAACAGATGCTGAGCACCTCCGCCTGCCCACAGGCCACTGAACAGCACAGCCCAGTTAATGAATCAACCCATAGCCCTCTTGGACAGATGGCGAATTTCCTCTCCATGGTTTTATAAGTGGGTGAAAAGTATTTCCAAATTCTAAGCAACCACAGCACCAACATTCCATCTTATTAAATCATAACCCTAATGATTGATGGGTGACACGTAAAATGCTAGAGAAATCTGGAACTGTGGTGGGAGGAAGAGACCAGGAACATCACAGAACAACAGAACCCAGGAGCTCACGCAGCCTGGACAGCAGCTTTCCCCACACCCCCACGGCCCCGACTGCGCCAGTAGTGACTTCCCCGAGCGTCACCAGTGCAATTCCTTCCTCCCTTCGGCTTCGTCTGTAAACATGTTCTTATTCCAAAACTTCTATTTTTCCAGAATTAAAAAAAAGCTGTGATAAAATTTCCCTGCACCTCAGGTACCAGACTCCATGAAATCAAACTAAGTAGAGACGGGTTGAGATGTGCGCCGGGGCAGATCCAGTATCGACATAAAGAAACACTTTTGCTGTAGAATTTCTACTTCAGTGGGCAGAGGGTGTGGGAGTGCTTGCCACATCACCCATGATTATGTGGACATCTGGAATGTTTCTGAAATATTTAATACTTCAAAGAGTAAATAGATTTATTTCCCTTAATACGTAACACGTTTGTCTCAACTTCAGAAATATGGACAGACGAAGACAAGAAATTAACACTCAGCTGTCAGGCCTCCCCACCAAACCACCCGGAATCAACAAACATGCTGGGTGACATGAAACTGCTCCAGGCCCAAGCTCCCTGCCGCCCCCGGACCACTGGGCGGCACCCCGTGGCCGTGCTCACCAGGACAGGCGGACGTCAGCATGGGCAGCGTTGGCTCCTCCTCGCTGTGCCGGCGGAACCGGCGCACAAACTCCTTCTGGCTCTCCAGGACGCTGAAGTCTGCGGCGATCGTGGTGTCAAAGACGAAGCGTACCCCTGTGGGGAGAGAGGCACGCTCAGCTCCACGTCCCAGGATGCAGGCTCCGCCCTTGGGCTCAGCCTCCCAGGGCCGACCTGGGGGGGCAGACGCTCCCTGCCCACCCAGGACCGCGCCGGTCACTCCAGCCGCAGCATGCTCACCCTCCACAACACAACACACCCGTTCCCTCCTGCTTCCTCTCTCTCCACACCTGCACCAACACAAATGCCTCACGCCGCTCCAGGTGCAAGTGAACGGGGCACTCACTCCCCCGCACAAGCAGTATTGTCTTCCAGCTCGCTGGCTGAGTTAGCTGCAGCCTGTAAGGGTCTTTGGGATCCGCAAAGCAAGTAAAAGGAGTAAACTGCTGAGCACACCTTTACAACGGTCTTCATTTTCACGTTGATTTTTAACTAGCTACCTTTTTCTTAGCAAGTTTCTAAACTGAAGTATAGCTGATACACAGTATTACACATGACAAGCACACGATACAGCGATTCACAACTTTGAAGCTTATGCCCCGTCCACAGAAGCGACAAACCCTGGCTCGGTTCCCCACGCGGTGCGCACATCCTTGCAGCTCAGTCCGCACACGGCAGTTCGCACCTCTGACCCCTCCACCCCCTCGCCCCCGCCAGAGAACTGCTAGTCTGTTCTCTGTGTTTTCTTTTCTGTTATGTTCACTAGCTTGTTGTTTTTCAGCCTCCACATGTGATACCACACAGCAGGTGTGTTTCTCTGTGTGACTCACTTCACTTGGCTAACACCCTCCAAGTCCACCCATGCTGCTGCAAGAGTTTTCTTAATACTGGAAAACGAGCCTAAGACAAAAGTGTGCACTTTCAATAACTGCAATAAAATAAATCAAACAAGTAACTTTAATATCTGCAGCCAGTCTAAACCTTAAAAACAGCCAATTGTCCTTAAAAAAAATACTGTAAATACTGTCATCTGAGATAGTTACATTAAAAAATCAGCTTCACTGTAGGTGTGTTTCCTTTATTAATACTAAGATATAATACCTGATTATTTACTTAAAAAATAACTCCCTCCTAAGATAGAGCCTGTCACTACGAGAAGATACAGCACCTAATGACCTGGGTCTTCGGTAAAGCTAAGGTAAGCTTGGGTTTTTTAAGATTAAAAGCGTTAAGGAGTGACACCAGGAGACCACGCTGTGGCCTAAGTTTTGGTTGTGGCACACTGTGCACAGAGCAGCAAGGCAGGCGGGCTGGCCCAGGACGTTGAGCCATTTTATTATATTAGTAACGCCCAACACGTTTACGTCTTTAAAAACCCACTGAGGCATCGAATCGTAAAGACTGTTATTCGGCAAATGGCTCAAGTTCTCCTCCTCTGAGCCCACAGCTCTTGGGGCAGGAGAGGCTGGGAAAGGAGGGGCCAGGGCTCTGCAGGCTCTCAGGGTAGGGGGAATGGCGGGGTTCTCGTCTAGGAGCATCTTACTGCCCTTTGACTCAGTATGAGTCCAGAATTCACTCACATTTGAGTCTTTGTGCCCTGAATGATGATCTTTCTCATTCCTCACACCAAGGACACAGCCCACCCCTTCTGCTCTGCTTGAGAGCTTCCAAAGCATCGCAGGTGGTATTCTCCACCAAACATACCCTGTGGCCTCCAAGAGCTGGGCAGTCGAGGTTGCTAGGCAAGTGTGGGTCCCGCGGGGGTCCCACATGGCCCCAGCGAGCTGTCCTAAAATGGTCACTTGCCATTCCCGGGCGGCCAACTTCGGCCGGAACACAACACCCACCTGCATGGCAACGCGGTGAGGGACACCTGCCTACCCTGGGGCAGGGCAGGGTCCTCTTACGTTCCACAAGACTCTCACGGGAGTTCTTATCTACCCTGTGCCCTTGAAAATTGAACTCCAGAGGTAAAAAGAGCAGTTGTAAACTCAAGTTGTATCAAATTCATTTGCTATAAATAATACGAAAAGGCACCTCACCAAGACTTTTGAGAAAGCCACAGAGTCTTCTGGATGCATCAGTCACATTGAGGCTGAATTTAGCAGCAAAATAAGGCAGAGACTGAGGACACACCGACACTGCCACCACCTTGTGCTTTGAGGTATCACACTTCTAGGAGGAATAGAGAAGAAGGTCACACACGTGGTAATTACACGGGGAGAGAAAATGAGACACTTTGGTGAAAAGCCTAGAACAGGTTGTAATAAATGTCCTATGGAGAGACTAATAAAATAGACAGGACACTCGCAAGCATAATAACTAAGGAAAAAGGAGAAAAAAATAGAATTAAAAGATGAGACATCCCGTGGGGAGGGCACAGTTCAGTAGCAGAGTGTGTTCTTAGCACTCATGAGGCCTTGGGTTCAGTCGCCAGTACCTCCGTTAGATAAATAAATGAATTACCCCCCTCAACAAAAGGACTTAAAAAAAAGGGAGGGACATCCCAAGAGATTCTGTCAATCTTAAAATCAATGCTATATCATAAATACACACATTAGTATCACATACAAATGCAAACACCTGGAGAAAATGGGTAAGTTTAAATGAAAAACAAGCTATGTACAATACTGGCCCGTAAATAACTGAAGTGACCCATTACAGTGAGAACGCTGGGCTCTGTCTCCAGGAGGCTCAAGCCCAGGTCAAAATCAGTGGCAAATTTTTAAGCAGTGGCTACTTCTCATCTTCTGTACATTGTTCTAACGAATACAATACAAACAAGCGTGAAACCACACCACCAACACCCTGAAACTAAAACCAGATGCTTCTAGCTCACGAAGTCCCTGAAGAGTATGAGGGAAGTGAGCGCAGAGAACTCTGACTCGGCGTGGGGCGGAAGCAGACGGGCTAGCCTGGAGGGGAGGGAAGGCGCAAGGCTGTCCCGGCAGAGGTTGTGCAGGTCAGACTGCTGGCAAGTTAGGGCAAGTGGGAACCGGACAGCAGTGCTCAGAGGCACCGTCCACTGCGGTCTACCTGTGCACAGCCCCACCCCCAGCTCAGGTGTGACGGCCTGACCTGACATGGGAAAATGAGACAACGCTGAGGCTGCCTGTCCCTCTGGATGGGGTCCCCTGTCACGTGACACCCGGGAAGCCCGACAACGCCATCGGGGCGCCAACCTGGCACACGCTGACCTCTGGCACCCTCACAAGCTCCTGGGATGCCTGAGCCAGCCAGATGCACTGGCTCCCATCCGCAGTGGGTGCCAACAGCACCCGGACGCAGATCCAGAAGCGGGACGAGGGCTGCAAGTTCCAGGTGCTGACGGGGGGAGGGGGCAGAGGGTGGGCGCCCCGACTTCACTTCCTGTCCCCCGTCCCGGGGTTTCGTGGGCTCGCTCCTCACTAATTCTCACTCAAATGTCACCTGCTGTGAGAGAGCCAGGAACCAGGAGGGGTCAGCCTGAGCCCAGAACGGAACAGATGCTGCTGTTTCCTGATGAGAGCTCCGAGTGACTGACTCACCCAACCCCAGAACCTACCCCTCAAGCTTTCAGTTTCATGAAATAACTATTTTCTTTTTATGCTAGTTAGGGTTGGGTACCCATTCTCCACAGCAAAAATGCTGACTGATATGGGTATCTGCCAAAAGTTTCTGCAAACGTCTATTTAACAGGAACATTTGACCAGCATTTCTGCTTAAGTATGAAACAAGACATAGCACTATTCTGATCGCTGCTGTTATTTGAGGTTGATTTAAAGGTCCTAAACACCACCATCAGAAAAAGAAAATGCATCCAAGTTGGAAGAGATAAAATCTGTTATCTGCAATCAAGCCACCAAGAAAGCCACAAGGGCTGCACCGGTCACCGCACCCCCAGTCAGGAGCACACACGCAGCCTGGGCGAGAGTGTAGGCAAACCGTGATGAGCTTTTCAGCCCTGTCTGCCTTTCGCTTCCCTACTTCCCTTTCCCACGTCTTCCGATCAAGAAAGCCATTCCTGGAATACGAGTGACAGCAGGTCTGCGGGGACGTGCTGAGGGACACAGCCCTGCCCCAGACTGAAGAGCTCCTGGAACAGAACATGTCCCTGAGGACGGCGTGGGGGTCCTCCACTTTCCCAGCCAGGTGGCCCAGTGGGCGGTGCCCACCACAGCGGTGGTCAGTCAGGGAGTGTGACTCTGCAGACTGTCTGCTATGGCAAGGGACACAGGGTCAGGGCCCAGACATGTGCCCCGAGTCCCAGCAGAGGCTTCCTGCCCCACCTTGACCTTCACCCGCCTCCTGCCCGGGGGCTGTACCTTATTAAGGTTCAGGACTCGGAGGAAGTCCTTGGCGTTCTGCTGGGAAACCTGGACTCCTTCCTCTGCAGTCACACAGCTGTCACAGGCCAGGCAGTCACTCAAAAATATCTTGGCGTCAGCCAATTTATGGAATTCTCCCTTCTGTGAAACAGAGATAGTGTTCGGCCTGATTCTTCAACAAAAATTCTGCCATGTGTGCTTCTTTAGGGAATGGAACAGAATAAGCACGATACAAGAAACTGGTGAAGACCCGAGATGACCCGGGCCTGGCGTACAGCTCCAGGTGCTGTGGCTGCGATGGTACCAGGGTCCACAGGGAGTGGTGGGGCAGGAGCAGGCCAACACCGTCAAACTGGCCACTGGCCTTCCTGCCCCCACACCCCTCCTCCTCAGGGGCTCTGCCCCAGACTGCTCTGCCCACCCTGAGGCTCAGAAGTGGAGCAGCTCACGCTGATCATGGGCATCGGCCTCCTCACGCCGTCCAGGTCCAAGCTGTGCTGTTCAAACCTGATCTCACTACAAGTGAGCCTGCTCACCTGGACGCAGGTCTCCTAACTGTACCCATGCCCACTCGTTCTCCGCAGCCCCGCCCCGAGGCAGAGGTCCCCCGGACACAAGCTGCCCTCCTCTGCTGGAGGCCCTCATCCCCGTCACTCCCCCAAGCTCTCACTTCTATCCACACCTTCCTGCACCTGGTGAGCTTTCACCCCATCCCGACGCCCACCCCTCAGTTCTCACCACCCTTCAAGGCCCACTCCAGCAGCTCCTTCCTGCCCTGCTCACCAGAGGGTGTCCACCCACCGTGCTGGTGGGGCACCCACTCAGGCCCTGTTCACACGTTATCTCCCGGCCACCACAGCCCTGGAGAGAGGTAACCCGACTCTTCAAGTCCCTGATAAGGAAACTGGGGCTCCTAGGGTTAGATGTCTGTTCAGGGTGATGTAGCTAGAGGGCAGGCGTGGGAGGCTCTCTGCTCCAGACTGCAGGGCCCCAGATGCTCCCTGCCTCTCTGCTGCCTCAGTGCCCTGGGCGCTGCTCACTGAGCCATAGCCTCCACGCCTCAGGGTGGTGCTGGTGCACCAAGGGGGCAGGTCAGCGCCGGGCCAACTCAGCGTCGTGTTAGGACTACTCTCCCACGGTGCCAATGCTCCAGTCCTCCACTGGGGACCAGTGCTTTCTGAGGGAATATGCGACCTTAACCTCCACATCCTTCTCTCTGTAAAATGGGGGCTTAAAATGCTCATCCTGAGCAAGAAATGAGAGCACATGTACAAACCACTGTCTCCAGCACCGAGCTCAGGGTGTGTATCCAGTAAACGTAAACCATCACCATCAGCTAAGAACTTTAGCACTAAGAACTGGGAGAAAAAACCACTAGAAAAATAAACTTACAGAACTGTAAGATTTGAATTACTTTATAAATTGTCTTCCTGAAACCCTATCTTACAGAATGGAACTTTCCATTATTAAAAAACCTGCAGGTTTACCTATCACAGCCCTACTCCTAACGAACGGCCAAGCACGACACTGTTCTCTGCTCCTAACGCAGTGCGTCTTGGCTTGGTGCACTCTTACCTTGAAGACCGTGTGCCTCCAACTCACCAACCCCACACGTCTGGCCCTGGCAGGGGCTTTTAGCCCCTCATTTCTTGCTTTCTTAGAGCAATGAGACACGTGGTGATAAGGACCCCTGAGAGAAGAACAGCAGCAGCAGCTATTTCCCCCACAGCTGACAAAGAACGGACACATCTACTTGCCTCTCCATCCTCCTGGGCTGGACTTGATACATCGAGTGATGCATTCTCTTGGTCATCAGTTTTTGTTTTTTTACTACATTCCTTAAAAAGGCAAAAGGACACGTGAAAGAACAATTTTTAATCTCCCAATTAAAGAAATTCATGTATTTGTTGATCAATTAATCTCACACCTAGAAATCTTTTCTACAGAAATAAGAGCAATTGGACTTGTGGACACACAAACACACCCACACCCACCCTGACATCTGCATCGTTTGCAGGAACTGAAAACTAGAAGGAAGGTGGTCTCTCACGACAGGTGACTTAGCGCCTGACTACCTGGACACCTGGACAGGCAGAACTAGGAGCGTATGTAATGGTCTGAAAACGCACCTTTGGTATAAGGTTAACTGAACGTGCAAGTGATGCAGTAGTATTTACGACACGATCCCATTTTGAAAAACAAACATAAGCCCCTGTGCCTGCGCGGTACAGTTAAGTAGGTTATCGGAGCCTAGAGACAAGCGTGGAGGTCACAGTCACCTGGTGGCAGGAGGCCCAGCCCACGTTTCCTTCCTGCGCTTCTGTACTGGTCCGTTACTATAAGCATGTAAGTTTTTAGATAAGATAAACCACCCCCAGAAACATTTTTGACGCCGTAGCGATCATTCACACCAAGAATGGTGTTTGCCCGAGTGCCCTGAGCGGTGGCAGCGGTTGGCTGCTTTTTCTGGGGGTTTCCAGCCTCGAAGGTACTTGGAAAGGACAGACAAGCGCGCGGAAAACCAGAAAGAGCGAGCGCGCGCCGTCGTCACGCCGCCCCCGGGGGCGGGAACCCGACGCGCCGGCGGCTCCCCCACAGCCGCCGCCGCCCCAGAGAGGCCGCGAGCCGCTGGCGGTGGACCGTGCGGAGGCAGAGGCGCTCGGAGCTGCCGGGCTCCCGACGTCCTGAGGCCCCGGGCTTCGCGAGCGCAGTCCCCTCCAGCCCCCTACCGCGGCCCCCGACCGCCGGCGCCCGACCCCGACCCCGGCCCCGAGCGCGCGCAGCCCACCTTCCGCGTGCAGTGCTCACACTTCATCTGGAGCCGGGCGGGCGAGTCCGGGCGCGCAGCCGGTGGAGAGCACTGAGAGATCTGGTCACTGCCGCCTGCTACCCGCCGCCCTTTGTTGTTGTCGCCTCGGCGCGGCCCCACCCCCAGCGGCTCCGCTCGGCCAATGAGAGCTCGGAGAACGGGCGCCCCACAACCCAAAACCAATCGGAGCGCGCGGAGGACGGTGCGGCTCCACGCTACGGGGCCCTGCCTAGGCCAATGAGAGCGCGGGAAAGGGGCGTGTCCGCCGTCGGAACCAATAGGAGCGCGCGGGGGCGGAGCCAGTCCCGCCCCGTCGGGAGCCCGCGGAGGCCCAGACATTTTCTCGCGTGGGTTTCGGCGGCCTACTGGCTCAGGGCTAGCAGACTGACGGTCGTAAGGGTGGGTCGGGGTCCTTCCCGGGCTCTCGGGCCAGTCAGCTGGACGCCGGACGCGCGCCTTCCTACCGGTTCGGGCCGGCGGAGATGTCGCCTCCCTACCCGCCGCCATAGCTGGCCCGAGGCGCGTCACGTAGGCCGGGGTGGCGGCAGTGCGCACGCGCTGCGGGCCCGGGAGCACGTGGCGCCGTCGGGGGCGCGAGGCGCTGTACCTGCGTCCGCCCTCCGCCTCCCGGCAAAGCCGTAGGGACGCGGGGCTAGCGGAGGTGTTGAGCTCCGTCCGCTGTGCACGTTCAGTACAGCCCGCTGGGAATGAGGGACACACCTGGGAGGGTTCGGGGGACTGCGGAAAAGCGTGCGCGTGTCTGTCAAACACCAGCAGTTCTCAGAAATCTCGAGAACCTTCTCCCTCCTCACCCCGGGGTCATAGAGCTCAGCAAAACATTTAAGGCTATTCCAGGTCCCAGAACCTGACTAGGATCTTAAGTATTTATCCATTAAAACTTATGTTTGTTTATAGTTTTTGGTTCGTACTTCTTTTTACAAACGCATGTTAAATGCAGGTCCTAACTGACTTTCAGATTAATCGTCTGCATTACTGAAATCCCTGTCAGCACGTCTCAAAAAACATCTTCAATTATTAGCATGAATAAAAGGATACTTTTAGGTTGTCATTTGTATATATTTTGTTAATATTTTAAAAACATAATCACAATACTGTGTGAAAAAAGTAAATTACAATTAATTTCATCAAACATGTAATGTCAAGGTTTCCCAGTCGTTTCATCGTTTTTTTAGTTTCAATCAGGATCTAAATAAGCTTCAGTGTTTTATTAATCTATATTTCAATTGGTTTGTGTGTTTAAGTCTCTCTTAAAATTTCTTTTTCTTGTAGTTTCTAGAAAAAAACAAAAAACCCTAAGACTCACTTGAAAGTTATAAACATAGTATAGGGAGTTCCCAGTCTTAAGGGTTTTTTGTGGAGCCATTTGGTTTGTCTTTTAAATCTGTGGTTTCCATCCACCTCTCTCTCTCTCTCCTTGCGTACTATCGTAAAGAAATCAGGTTGTTTGCCCATAAGGTTTTCAGCAATTGCTGACTGCATCCTTGTGGAGTTCTTTAGCGCCCCCTTGTTCTGAATTTCCAATAAAGGGTAGTTAGAACATTCTAGTGGCTTGATCACAGTTAGGTGAAAATTTTTTGTCTATACTACTTCATAGATGGGTTGTGAAATTCCATCAGGAGGTTTTAATGTCCGTCCTTTTTGTGATGTTAATTAGCAGCCTAGATCTATTCATTCATTAGGGTCATGTTTTAATCTTATCATTTCTTCTTCATTTATTATCAGGAATACTTCCATAATGAGAAAGTCTTTTTACCTACTATTTGGTTATTCTGTTGTAAATCTCATGAAGAGAGACAGGAAAAATGCTTGATTCTTTCCCTTTATTAACCACTCAAAAAATCAGAGTTTGTTTCTCAGCTCCCTCCGAAAATGATCAAAGAATTTTAGAAATATCATTATGAATTACAGATTTAAACACATGATTTTTAACTCATTCGAATTATGGTTCTTATTGACACTCAAATCTTTTCTTTTCAATGAAAATCTCTACAGTTAAGCTCCTAAATTCTTCTGATGAGACACTAATAGTCTCTTTGCTTTTTAACACATTTCCTTGTACATGTCTTACTTCAGCTCTGACTGCAGTCTCACTGGCAGCTCTCTGCTACAAAACCTACAAAACCGCTTAACGGGTTTAGGGGGAAGGTGGTGGATGCTGGGTGCGGCTGGCCAGTGTGTACTGTAACAGCTGGACACTGGAGAAACTGATGCACTGCAGGAGCCTGTGTATCCAGCACATCAGAACCAGAACCAGAGCCAGGAAGAGAAACTCTTCCTCCTGGAGTGTGTTTCCGGTACCCTATATGGACAAAGCTTAACATCACACCAGAGCGCACAGAAAAAATAAGGGACTCGGATGCATTTTCATAGAGCAGGCAATGAAGTTTGAATTTAGAGCAGAGATATAATACACTGAGACTTGGCACAACATAGATTTAATTCACTACGTCTCTTATGTTAGGCTGTTGTATTTATTTCCAACCTTTTGCTATTACCAATATTCAGCAGGATTTTAAGCATATCAGACATCATTTGTTCACTTTTTTAATATACACATTTTTATTGAAGTACAGTCATTTTACAATGTTGTCTCAATTTCTGGTGTACAGCACAGTGATTCAGTCATACATGAACATACATATATTCGTTTTCATATTCTTTTTCAACATAAGTTACTACAAATCAAATATTGTTCCCTGTGCTCTACAGCATGAACTTGTTCACTCTTTTAACGTTAGTAGAATGCCAATGTAGGCTTCATTTTTAAATGGTTTGTAGTCTAGTAGGGAAGGTGAAGTTATGCAAAAAACTGTAATGCAAAGTAGAATTTTCTGGGTATCAACTCAGTTCTACCTAAATTCTAAGGAATAAGATCACTTCCACCTTCATCAAGCAGGAGGGACTTAAAGGAGGTGCTAACAGTTCAAAGGGACCTTTAAGATGGTGTGGGATCTTGACAGGAGAAAGCACTTCAAGAAGATGGAATGTGAGCTGAGGCATCACCAGGTCAGGAACCTGCCATGTTCAGGCAGAACCTACTTCTGTTGCAGCTTACAGCAGAGGTTGTCAAAGTGTGATTCCCAGACCAGCAGCATCAGCACATCTGCATTTTCGGGTCCTGCCCGCTGCTGGGAACAGGCCCAACAGTCTGTGTTTCCGCAAGCCCGCCAGGTGATTCTGGTGCATGCTCAGGTTTGGGAACCACTAGTGGAGAGTATCTGAAGAACATGGGCAAAGTAGAAAAGTTGTCTCCAAGTTTTTGATTCTGTGCCTAAATGGTAAACTTCTAAGGTTATGCATACTGAAGAATGTATGTTTCTTTATAAGGTAACATTATGCACTGTGTATCAATCTTACGCAAACTATAAAACAAAAATAGATACAAAATGATAAAATAAGTATGAATGCAACTCTATTACGTTCTTCCAGCACTCCACAGACCATCCTGACCATCCCACTTTGGAGACCACTGCAATAGGCAGTGGCTGGGAGATGGAGGTTCTCCTGCTGGGAAACAGAAAGGCAAGTTAGGGTCCTGCTCTGGGCCTTATCTGGGGGCCGTGGGGGTAGGCAGAGAGTGGGAGGCTTCTTCAGCATCTACTGCAAGGTTTTCCTGCAGAAAATTTGTCTCTCCCACTACAACCCCCTTCCCAGACACTGGGGCAAGTTTCTGAGCAACAGAAGACCTGCCATCACAAACAAGTGGACGTTTAGTTTTCCCAGCGACAGTGAGTTTTTTTGGGGGTCAAGTATCTCTGCTTCCCCCTAGCCTCCTCCACGGTGCCTTGCAGAACTGTTCAGATTGTTTTTTTTTTCCGTGTTGACATTTTTACTGGGTTTGTATTTTGAATCTGTAGATCAAGTTGGGAAAATTTACATTTTTACAGTAATTTTCCAATCCATGGACAACTATCTTATATCTACTTTAGTGTTCCACAGTAAAGTTTTTAAAGAATCTACCATAAAGTTCACACATGTCTGTTGTTAGGTTAGCTAAGTATAGGACGTTTTCCCACTGTTCTCAACGGCTTTTTCGAGGTATAACTCACCTACCTCCGCGGACACCACGCGGCCGCCACTGGCACTGACCTGCCCTCCGACCGCCGCTGCGCCCTCTGCCGCTCGCAGGCGCCTCTGCGGGGGAACCTTTGCTCGTCTTCCCAGCTTCAGGGCTAACGACAGACCCGGAAGTTCAGCTGTCCCATCTGCCCCCGCGGGTCCGGAAGTCAGCGCCGTGCCGGTTCCTCCCCGGAAGTCAACTGTGCCGTCCGCCCCGGCGGGTCCGAAAGTCAGCGCCGCCCTGGTCCCGCCCCGGAAATCAGCTGACCCATCCGCACCCCTCCCTCATCTCGGGTCCGGAAGTCAGCTCAGTCCCGCCCCCGGCAGCCGGCTATTCCAACCGCCTCCGCGGGTCCGGAAGTTAGCGCCGGCCCGCCCCCAGGGCAGGAAGTCAGCCGCCAGCAGGTCCAGAGGCCCTGAGGTCCTTCCCGCCCCCGCGTCAATGCCCGCAGGTTAGTGTCCGCGTTAGGCGCCTGGGGCCATGCTGCCGTCGGGGGTCGCGGGGCGGGCTGGGAGCGGCTCCCACGTCCCGGTGTCCTTCCGGGAGCGC